CTCTCTCTCTCTCTCTCTCTCTCTCTCTCTCTCTCTCTCTCTCTCTCTCTCTCTCTCTGTGTGTGTGTGTGTGTGATCTGACCCTCTTGACTCTTGACCAAGGTTCCTTTTTCGTTCTCAGTGCATCATGCTGCCTGATTGTGATTCCAATTGCCATGCAGAGAAAACTACGACGGGGTCCCGCTCATCATTCTCTATCCACCAATCACTGGCCATGAGAGCAGAACTCCGCCGGCAAGGGAGGGAAGCACTGAAGGAAAGATATGAAGAAGTCCGAAGGCAGAAAGAGGTAAATGCTGTACCTTGTTCTTCTTAGGCTAAATGTTCAGCAAGAAAGGGAGAAAGTAGGACAAGAAACGGGAGACTATAACAGACTATTTTGAGGGGAGTTTTATCAACTCGTCAGGAGGCTGGAACCCTTGTCAGTCGGCAGAGTGCCCTAAGAGATGATATGGCAAGTCATAGTCCACCTTAACCCCAGTTGCAGTTAGGCAGCAACAATTGCCCCCCAGTCTGTAAATTCTTCCGTCTGGTCTGGGGGGTTGAAAGTCTGCTTTTTTTTTTTTCAATTCATTACAGGTACTCTTCGAGAGGGCAGTGGTCAGTGCCCAAATTCAGGGTATCAGTTGTGGAGCAGTGGTTGGTGACCACCTGCAACTGTGGTTAAGGAATATTATCACTTACAGTATGATATGTTATGGGACTCGGTGGACTGTCAAGGGATCAGCCTGCCCCGATGAGTGGGTGAAACTCTTATGAAACAGTCTGTCACAGCTCCACATGTCCCAGCCCCCAGCTTCTTGTCCTTCTCTCCCTTTCTGCCTTTTTTTTTTTTTTTTTTTTTTTTTTTGAAAACCAGTCCCTCCGCTAGAAGAGGTGATAAGAGCACCCGTTTCTAGCCTATGGGTGTCAAATTGACAATATACGACACGACTTTGCTAGCTCTCTGTAGCATTTCACTAGCCAGGTTTAGAGGGGTAGTGGTCAGGGTCGTTACTACGCAGCCATGCTGTGGCTCTAGTGCAAGTAGTGTGTCTGGAGTGTATTTTCGGATGCCGGAGGACCATTCTCTATTTAGTGGGGGCTTTGCATGGCATACGGTGGGATGTGAACCTACAGTCCGTGGACTCTTCCATCTGCTGGGGGTAGGTGATGGTCTGTTTGATTTCAAGCTCAGGTACCCAACAGGGCAAGTGCACTTTGTGAAAACAAATGAAGACAACAGCAGACAGCATGAGGCACAGTTGGAGTGACCTCACAGTTGGAGTGACCGGGTTAAGTAGCGGTGGTGGGTCGCGTGCGGTTTGAG